CCTGGACGTACCCTTAAACAAATACATAAAGTTATTCTGTAAGTAATATAAGTTGGAAGATAAAATTTTTTTTTGTTGAAAAAGGTACATTTTAGCAGCACTACGAGTACCAAAACAGAAACAGAAAACCCAAATTTGTGTGTAGTTCTTTTGTTTTGCGAACTCGTAAAATTTAAAGCTTACTTCAGATAATTTGACCATACCGAGAGGCAAGATAATTACAATGAAAATCACCCAAAAAAAAAACAAAATAGGAACAAAATTTATATGAATGAAAATACGAGTATGAGTTCATGGAGTAAATATTTTGAAACATTTTCATTTTTTGTTAGTTGAACGAATATAGAGTTTTTCTATAAACTGTATCTTGTGCCGAACTGGACCAAATTGTGCAGAAACTGGGCCATATTGCACAACTCAGTTCAACTCATCAAGCTCGAGTCATTAATAAATAGAATAAAAAGTGCAAGAAATAAGAAGAAAAGGTTTAAATTAGAAAAATTAAAATAGAATAATAACAAAAAAAAGTTATTTATTTTTAATAGCACAGCAATTGTTCAAATCACGTTATTTAAGAGAGGAAATTCGCCAATTTGGAAATGGCACATGGGAAAAATGGAGTTAATAGTGATTTATATGGTTTGAATAGAATTTTAAAATATGGAACACAATAAGATTTACTTAAATTTATTAATTTCCAAATATATATAAAATATAAAATAATATAGAAATGGGAAGACAACAATAAAAAGTTTTTTTAATTTAGTAAATTTTGGCTAACTATACAACACTGTTTCGAATATTACCCAGTACTCATTATCACCGGTCTTAGAAAATATTCAAATTTTTTAATTAGTTTATAGTCTGTATATAATTTATTTGAATTGCAAGTGCCAGGCTGTATTCGAAACAGCGTTGTATGATCAGCCAAATTTCAATAAATTAACTAACATTTTTGTTGTTGTCTTTTCATTTCTATTCGAACCCTTCTAACTTTTAAATAATTTCTTTTCGTCATAAGACATGTCATTTGCGACAAAAAAAAAAATTTAACATAAAAAAATATGTATTTTTTTTTATTAAAAAACCCGCTCGCTATGTTAGTCAAAACAGTGTTGTTCATTAATTAATCCTAGAAATATTGCTTTTAAAAAAAATTTATTTTTTGTTGTATATGCTTATATATTATATAAACTATAATATTTTAAATTTAGGCATATCCAAAAGGTATCAAAATAGCAGCGACGCTGATCTCCACAACATATCTTCATGGTTATGACCAGAACAGTGCAAAACTGATGTGAGCATTCGTATTATTACTGTCTGCATTCATGACACTTAATTAATTATATTACTAGTTTCCCTTTTTTCAGAGATGCCACAGTTGTAAAGAGAAAAATGAAAGAGGAACAAAAGAGAGAGAAAGAGGAAAGTGTTCACTTTTCTTTCTGAATGCCCAAGCCTAGCTAGAGTGGTACATTTCACAATGGAAGTCTACGAACTAATGATACCGGTGAACATCCCAAAAAAAGATCTTTAATATATAATCTCCTTTATCAACCCCGACGGTTAATCTTAAAACTTATATTTTGATCGGTTCGTGATATCAACACAGCACCTAAGCACTATTTGGACAAAAGAGACAGTTCTCTATTTACAGTGTATAATAATATGAAATATAGGTGCATAATAGCACTTATTTCAATCAATTCCTTCAACAAGTGCTGTTATGTATCAGTAATGCTTAGTATTGCCACTATTTATAATTCGACAAGCAGGTATAAAAATGAAAACACTTGTATCTTTAATAGTGTGTTATTTTAATAATTTTGATTTAGTGGATTTGTTTTAAAGTCCCTCAGTAATAAATTCGGACTGTTAACATTGTTTCATTGTGATAAAAGAATATATATATATATGTATAAGCATTGAATATTGAAAACGTTTATTTAGAAGTTTGCTACAGAAATGTTCAGTGCCTAATGGCACATTTATTTGTTAGTACTCAATTTTTTTTTCTGTTGCTGTCAGCATCTATTATTATATGTTTTCTTTTCAAGTACGTAATGGGTACACATAATTTGAGCTATAAGTTAATATACTCTTATCAAAATTTGAAAGATTGTCATTCTGCGCGGATTACTAACAAACACTACAAAAGATAACGAACAATCAGATAATTGGGTGTTGGACATTAGAAGACAGATTGTGAACCAAAACCTATTAACAAAAAAGAGAGAACAAATTTGCAACAACAATGATGTTGGCTTGCGTAATTTAGACTTTATTTTTATGTACAAAATTAATGTAAGTATATAATATTAATTTCCATATTCTATAAGTTAAAAGTTAAATTCTATAAATGAAACGTTTGGAAGCTAGTCGCAGAGTTACAAAATAATCATGTTATAATCATGTGTAGAGTATATTATCAGAAAAAAAGTGCACTTATTAAATGTTTGATGCCTGATTTTATGATCAATTTAGTATCAATTTAGTAAATGATACAGCAGAGTTTCTGAATTTGTAGTTATTAATAAGCACAATTAAAAATTATTAAACTGTTATTAAAATATAATTCATTTAAGTTCTTGATTAGTTGAAATATATATAAAAATACAACTATTAAAACAAATTATATTAAATGATGTTTAACAAATTACTAATTTTAAAATATAATAACACAATAACAGCAATCGATATAGTAACACTAATTTTAATACATTTATTTTTTTAATAAAGTATATAAGAACAATATTGTTGAAAATAGTTAAAAGTATTTAATATAATTTATATTTATTCAACAAAATTTAATTGAATTAAATTAAACACCGAAGTTGACATGATACTATAATATTAAGTTAAATTAATAAAATTAGTAATAATTAAAATAAAATCATTTGCAAACTAATGTTAAATAATAATATAAGCTTTAAAGAAATATCAAAATAAAAATAAATCACAACAGTTTAAATTAGTAATAAGAATTTAATTATTTAATTATTAATAAAATAAAAATTTAATTAATAATTTTTGTAGAAAAAATACTTAAAATATATTAAAATAGTACAGTTCTATAAACGGTAGTAAAAATACTGAAATTAAATTTATAATAAAATAGTTCATAGTATTAATCAACATAATATTATTGGAAAATAAATGTTATAAATATTAGAGTATTAAAGATATTAAAATGTTCGATAAATGTCAAAACACACTATTATTGAGATTTATCCGCTTTATCCAAAATATTATGAACAGATTTTTAACATAAATTTTTGAATAGTCACCTATAGCAATAAGAATACAATACTATATACACCGCAAGAAAGGATTAGAATATTTTCGAGGTAATGCATGTCTGTCGTAAAAGTCGACTAAAATAATGTATGTACCACCCGATACTGTTTATAGCTTACATAATAGTAGTGAGTTTCGGCCCTCGGCTGGAGATGTATATCTGGTACCGCGGTAATCAGGGTCAACATATTCTGCTGTTCTAACTAACCGAGGTTAGCTCCTTAAATAGAAATATCATAGCTGTGGTTAAAGTCCAAAGTTATGCGGGTAGAATCACTATATTTATTAATTTTTTTTGAGAAGAGAAGAAGTTCTATATCTACACCATAAAACTTCAATTGATATTCCTTGGAATTAAGACAGGTAATCACGTTAAAATTTATAGACATTGTACCAGAAAATAAAACAAAACCACTGCATCAATATTCATAGTAATATCGGTAAATCCCTAAAAGTCTAAAAGCTTTCATATAAACACTAATATACAAAAATGTTTCAAAAAATGATGATAGTTAAAAGATTCAATAATAATAATAAAATAATCAAAATCAATATAGTTTGAATTATTGGACTTAAAGTATCTGCAATAATATTTTGAATACTCTTTAAATTCGAACAAAAATTTTTGTTAATCAACATGTTGCCTATTTAGATAGAAATTTAGATAGAAACTAAACTCCATCTGATATGTCTAGGTTGCTTAATTAATTTGTATTTATTTACATGTGTGGAACTTGTACTAGGATTTATTAAATTATGTGCGAATATTCGGATTGTGTAAAATCCCATTATAGAACTGAGATGAATCGAAATTAATTATTAGAAAAACAACATTGTAGAATAAATTCATTTTATTTAATATAAATGCATAACAGAATAATAACAAAAATAAAAATAAGATAATTTTTGAAAATATTATTTGTAAAAAAATTAATTATTAAAAAATTAAAAACTTCAAATAAAATAATAATCACGGTAAATAAAATAGTAATTATAAAATAATTATATATAGAAATATAAATACATAATAATAAAAATAAATTTTGCAAATAATACAAATATATAAAAATAAGACAAAATAAAATAAAATAAAATAAAAATAAATTTTACAAATACTGAACTTAAAAATGTTATAATAAAAATTTTTGATTACTATTTTTGATCACTTTTACTAATATATATATATACATATATATATATACATATATATATATATATAAATATATATATGAAATTCATCATTTTAGAATTAATTTCAATATCTACAAAAATACAAAATAAATTAACTGAAAAATTAATTTATATATAAAAAATATATATATACAATATAAAATAATATATATATAAAATTCTTAAATGAAGAAGTAGAATAAAATTGGTTAGTCTGCAAAGCAAGGCTTACTAATATTAACTAAACAGATAATTCAAACTGACATAAAGATGTATAACATATAAAAATATTTTAATCCAAAATATAATAATATAATATATATGTATTATTTATATACATAATAATAATATAATATATATATATTATATATATATATATATATATATGTATTATAATATTAAAATAAAATAATAATGAATATCACACTTTTGAAATCATATTCTCAACTTTTAAACGCCGCACTGACTTAGAATTTACAAGTCAAGCTTTTCGAAAATTTGCTTCGAAAAATGAGCCCAAATTAACTTACCAAAGTCCTGTGATTAAGCTTAGCTTGAATAAATATCAGCAAATATTTATGTAGAGGTGAATATGTTTTATTTTATTTTTCACGAAAGTAATAAACACAACAGATTCAAATTCAAATAATTCTGTAACGTTAAATTCAATTATATTTATTTAAGAACTCTTTTTGTTGTTGTTTTTTTTGTTGTTATTAAAAACAATAAACATACATTAATAAAATTTTCTAAATAAAATTTTGTAACAAATTTTGAGGTTTTTTTTTCGAAAAAAAAACACTTTTTATTATTCACATAAACAACATCTAATTAATTTAATAATAATTCTTCTTATATTATATATAAGGTAAGATTATTCTGTATAATTAATTCAATATTTGAACACCAAAAACTTTTTAAAATAATTATTTAAATTATTTAACTGGTAAATAAACGCTCGCACACGCAAGATTTGAACTTTTGCCGAACGAAAACAATCACGCAACGCAACTAACGCTTCGAAAAACAAAAGCGGAATGATTTCGTCTCTCCGTTGGTTTGTGCTCATGCTGAACCAACGTAAACAAGTGTAATGTTGCACGGCAACATTTCAGGGTGGCCAATAGCATCAATAGTAGTAAAAGGTAGCAAAATTTGAATTTTCATAATCCTATAAGCGCTTTATTTTAATTTAAATTTAATATTTAAAAATAAATTTTTTAATTTAATTTAAATTAGTATTATTATTATTGTTGTTATTATTTTTATTATTACTATTAAATAAATGTTCAATATTAATAAACTGCATGTATTTAAGAAAAAAAAACTGCAGATTAAAAAAAATTTTACATTGATATGCAATATTTCAAATTAATTAATTATATTTTTTAAAATTAATTAATTAATTAGTTATATTTATATAGTTATATTTATATAGTTATATTTATATAGTTATATTATATATTAATTAATTAGTTATATTTCTTTTAAAAAGAATTGTGGTTTACTAATAACAATGAAATCGCCACAAAATAATAACAGTAATTTATTATATAATGGCTGATCCCATTATGGACAACATCTCTTTGGTTTTATAATGTTGATTGATTTTGTGAAAAAAATTTTTCAATCCCTATTTAAGGCCGTGTGTGAGTTCGAGGAAATTGAGATAAAGTAAATTGAAATTTTTTTGCACTACACCTATATAAATATTTCTTTATTTATTTATTGCATTATTTTTTTTATTTAATCATCTTATAAAATTTTCACAATGGTAACACCTAATTTACATAATTTTTATCTAATTTTCTCCTACTCGAAATTCTGGTAAATACCAACATTCGCTGCCATACAGACATAATTTACTATTTCCCTCAATTTACCATCAATTTACCATCAATTTACTCGAACTCGTACACTGCCTAAATAATATTTAAGCATATATATGTATGTATGTAGGATCTTAATTATAATTTAATTATGAAGAAACTACATAAATATTTAAATAAATATATACTAATTTAATTTAAAATTAAATAGACTTAATTAGAAATAAATTTAATATTTAAATAAATTGAAACTACATGTATATACCATTTAACAAGCAGAAATAACACACAAAAAAATAAAATAATAAATAGCACTTATTGAAGTGACTTAGCTCCTACTAAAATTGATATTATCTCAATATCAATTATGACTGCAAAATTGACTATAAGAACGTATTTTTAAAAATTAGACCTAAACACTTTTGGCTAAAAATCGCTAATGAAGACAATCTTGAAATTTCAGAAATTTTTAGATAAATATTAATGATTATAAGCTAATAATTAGTTGACGCAGAGCATACCTTATTTTACTGTAATAGGTAGCTCACATTTAGAAAAGTGATAATTGCTCAGATTGGAAAAACAAATCCCGAAAATAAAGTAGAAAAATTGAGACTGAACCCAGAAAGCTGGCGAACGTTGAAGTCATATGTGATTTAAGTCCTCAAAACGAAGAAATTAGACCTAGAAAGAGGAAACAGATATTATATGGCAGTGAAAAAGTGGACTAGTGGACACAGTTTGAAAATTCCAAGAGCATAGCTTAAAATGCCAATATAAAAGAGACCCTTCTCAAAGTAATGCGAAAGTGGGGATATAAGTCTCGCAGAAGAAGGGATGTTTTAATCCGTATACTACATATTAATGGTAGGGAGTCGGACACACCATTGCGACGACGGTCGGTCTGACGGTGCATAAAGTATTCCACCTCATCATCACAAAAAATAAAAAAAAAAGTCAATAATAATATAAATTATATTATACCATTCATTTCAATTCAATAAAACTTTTCGATATAAATAAACCTAAGTAAGCACATTTGAAGAAACATCACTAATGATGGCAAATCAACAATATCCAAATATGATGTTTAGTTAATAATAATATAAATATAACATAATGCTGCAATAATGCATCACTATTTTAAAATTAATATTAAACATATTACTACTGTTTACACTTACAATAATCGAACTTCATTAGTAAATTCTTTTTGTGAATTTGGTACAGATTTTGTAAAAAAAACGAAACTTATTACTGCACATTTATTCAGTTAATTGCGACACACTATCGTACTATAGTACTATAATAGTACATATGCACTATCGTATATGTACTATAACATCATATTCAATTGAAGTGGGCGACATATAATATAAACAGTTTAGATTAAGTTGAGCTCTTTCGCTACAAGCTACATATATTATAAACTTATTCGTTTCTAATTATAACAGATGGAGCATAAACTTTATGCATGATATCTTAGAAAGTCAACACTTTTTGTAAAGTGGAGGAGCACATAAAGCTGCGTTTCTGAAAAACCCCATACTATCCCAAATTGTAGAACCCAGAAACATTTTAACCGACTTAATGAGAATTCAGTACTCTGTATAATATAACATATGTTCCGAGGTCTTCTTTATTCTTAGCTTTCTTTATTTTCTAAAATTTTCTTATAGTTTTATAGTGATAAACGTTGACTCTGAGCTTTAAATTTGACAGGGTATGAATCTTAAAATATAAGATATAATTCTAAGAGCATTTGTAATAGATATTTGGCAACACTCCAAAAAGCTGTATGGTGAGCCAAAAATTTAATTAATTAAAATTATATGAAACCAATTTTTGTGGTTGTAGTTCATTTCTTTTTAAAACCTCTCTATAATTATAATAGTATTAAATTTCTTATTACAATAATTGTATTGAATATTATATGTATATTCCAGGTATACTATATATATACTATATAGTATATTCCGGATTTATTTTTGATTTTATAACTTCCAAAAATGAATACAGAAAGAGGAAGTTGATTCACGTTATTGAATCATCGTAATAAAGAATTGCGAATTTTTTATCAAGAATAGTTAGAGTGGCGAATAAGTCATATACTATAAAGTGCTGAATACTTCTGTGTGTTATGCTATATTAATTAAATTTTTAGCAAGTTTTTCCCACGTAAATATCCATATTTTTGATGTAACCAATGGTTTCTTGATCACTTAACTAGAACAAATAAATATATATATAAATATAAAATAAAAAAATTTATTAAATAATAAAAATTACTAATAAATAAAAGAACATAAATTAATTATTTATATAGAATAGCACAGTAAAGTTTTTAATAGCAATAAGATACTACTCCCCTTATATACCAACAAACACAGCAACACTCACTTATGTGTCTTATTGTCGGTATAGCAACATGTTCTCTTATTCTTTGCAACTTTTCACTTGCTTATCAACATTTTATGCCAAAATTGTTTTTGTTTTTATCACAAAATGAGTTTGTTTACATTTTTTTCGTAATGGATAATGTTTTTTGTTGATGCAATAATGTCAATACAATAAGCAAACAGTGTTGCCACTATAAGAAATTATTAAAAAGTAGCAAAAATGTTTTTGATGAAAATATGCATCGAAACTGAATATAGTAATTAAATTTAAATAAATACTTAAATATTTATTTATATTTAAATACTTTAATATTTTATAAATAAATATTGTATATAGAATATAAAACATAAATATTTTATTTTATTCGTTCTAATATAAGTAAATTTGTTAATAAAACTTTCATAACAAAAAACTCCAGAGAAATTAGCGAACATAAAAAGTCAAGTACGGCTTTAGGTCAGTTGGTTAAGGTGCGCTAATTCTGAGCTTCACATTTGGCAGGACCCGAGTTTGATTCCTGGTACTTGTAATCTCAAAAATAATTATTTACGAATAATTAAATACAGGAATTATTTCTAAGACCACTGATGATAGGTATTTGGCAATTTTCCGAACAGCTTTATGGTCAGCCAAAAATTCAATTAATTAAAATAATATAAAATAAATTTTTATTGTTGTAGTTCAGTACTGTTCGAAAAAAATCTCATTGTAAATATTTTTTTTAAATATTTATATAAAAGTATCAAAACAACTATCGTGATTGCTAATATAGATTGTAGTGCAGCGGTGGTTAACCACCTAATCGTTTATTCGTATTAATAAAAATGTTGCAATTTTTTTGTAGCTAAACTTTTGCTTTCCCCATAGAAAGAGTTTTATATTCTTGCTAAACGGTCCTCTGAACGATACTAATAAGGATGGTAATGCGTACCACAGAAATTTCGGAGACCATACAAGCTATATATGCTATTAAAGATATTGGATATCTGCAAATTAATCGTTTATTAAAAGCACCGACCATGCCTACGATCAGTTTAAGTTGTCGAAAAAGAACTTTCATTTGTGAATATGAATGAGTACTAAAAATAATAATTTAAAATATGTTTATTAAATAATTGATGTGTTCAAAACTATATAAATAAAGAGTATTCAAACTTATTTCTTTTCGAGTTATATATTTTTTTCCTATGTACAACAAATCAGTTATTTCTTATATGAAGTGTACAATACATATCTACTGTTATTCGACTTTTTCGAAAGGATATCTAACTCCACATCTATTTGGTTAAATGTCATAAAATTTTGATAATACGTCAATGAAAGATCTACCTTATTATAGCGTAAAATGGACAATAGAAACAATTACTATAAGTCGTATTTAAAAAAAAATTCTCTTTTACTTTGAACTACATTTGATATGATGACACTTTCGCTGATTTAATACAGATTGCCATAGACAAAGACCTGAGATGCAGAAAGGGTTTAATATCGATCTAAAAAAGTTGTGATTGTATATATCGAAAAAAAATGCAAAATAAATTCTAGTTTTCTCTAAAAAAAAAAGGAAATTGCTTTACAGTACGTTTTCATACTTATTATAAATACGTAGAACGTGTGACACTGCATAAGTAACTCTACTGTAACATCCACTATAAAAGTGTGTGCGATCAAACTTCTTAATCAAATCTAACGTAACCACTCCAATGTTTAGATAATTATTTGTGGTACAACATATCTCTTTACATAATTTAATCAAAAAACTGCAGTATTCAATGCAACTACGCTGCATCATACATACTATATACCATATGGTAATACAAGCTGTCGTATCTCTATCTGTACACTCAGAAACAAACCCAAGAGTCAAAATTCCACATAAAGTTATTGATCCCAAAATCAAAATTTAGGGTTGTACTATGTTATCTTCATTAAAAATTAAAAAAAGTTACATATCTGAATGCAGATAGTCAAACGCTAATCAGAATACCACTTTCTAAAAAAATTCTCTAAGAGACTTCTAGAAAATTTTAACTTTTCTGACTACTACTATGTGCTTTGCTGGTTATCTAGATATATTAGAATTTATTGATAATAAACTTACAATTCAAGGCACAACAAGCATTCCAGGCAAGCACCAATCTCATCCATGACTGACCAGTATTAATAAATCGGTTTGACTACAAACAGACGATTTTTTCAAGACTTCAGTAAAAAGGTAAGATTAGACACAGAACTTGAAACATTCAGTAAAACCTGGATAAAGTGTATAAAGTTCCAACAGCATTCTTTGACATACCACAAAAACGAGAATAAAATAATATTTTTGGCAGCACCTTCAAAATCTCTATTTACAAAATGCTAAAATCTAATAGAGCACATGTATACAAATTACATTTTATCAACTATAATTTTCATTACTTTACTGTAAAAACACACTTGAAATCCAAGGATTGAATTTTTCTAGCTGTTTCTGAAGACACTGAAGTGGATTTGAAGGTAAGTAAATAGAATATGTTATATTAAAAACACACTTATTTTATTTTCATTACTTTTATTTATAGAGAACGACAATTGAACAAAATGAGAACTATAAAAATATTAATTAAAGCATTAATATAAATATAAGGAAATTATAATTTATTCTATATATAATTTATTTTATTGAGACATACTTTCTTCTAAAAATTTATGTTGCACTTATATGGGTGTATTTCAGCTTCAGTCGGGGGTGTTTTTAATATAAATTTAGTATAAATCTATTGGCATACACATAAATTAATTTAGTGTTCTTAAACAGCACTAAGTAAATTAAGTGCTAGAATTTTGAACTCCATACTTCAGTACTAGGCGTAATTTTTTTTTTCAGAGTAGTAAAAAAATACTCGCGACTTATGAAAGAATATATCTGAAGCAACAACAATACTTTTAAAATCTTTAGTATTAAGTTTTACTCCCAAAAAATTGTACGCCTTAAATTTGAGTGCTGCCAAATTCAAAAATCAGACTTTTGTTAGTGTTCACTGGAAATATGTTGCATATGTGCATTTAATTTACTAATAAATTCTATTAATGTGGGAATGCCTTCTACTTCTCAAAGACCTTGCTGAAAGAACAGAGTTCACTTAATATGGATCCCAGGGCACAGCAGGTTTGAAGGAAACGAAAACGCAGATGAACTACTCAGAAAAGGGGCGGCCTCGTATAGTATTGGGTATTGGACCACAACCATTCTGCAGTCCTTTATAAAGCCTTTTCAAACTTTAAATTAATGAGTGGCTGGAAAGAGCAGCTCAGGCTGATTGGAATAATACAATTGCCTGCAGACAAGCCATAGAATCCATGCCGTATCGATCAAAAGCCAGAACTAGGGAACTACTTACGCTGAACAAAAGTGGTATCCGACTTGTCACAGAGTTTCTCACTGGGCACTGCGGAGTTAATAAGTATCTATCGAACCTTGTTGCGAAGAAGAGGAAGCAGCAGAACACATTCTGTGTCACTGTGATAGTCTTGCCAGACTCAGACTACTTATCCACTGCCTATCCACTTATAACGGAATTAGGCAACATCTCTCCAAAGGATTGAATGACGTTCTTAACTGCTATTCGTATATAGAATTGAAGTGGGTATGTCACAAATCCTCAAAGGTTGCAGTGACGTCGTGACAAGTTCTCAACCCATCTTAAAATCTAATCTAATATAATCTACTAATAAATTTAAATACATAAATTAATTAAAAAATAGTTTGAATATATAAGATAAAAATGCATTCCATTGTCATTTTAATATTCATTTTGTTTTATTTTAATTAAATTAATTAATTATTAGTGTTTACAATTTTTATATTTCATACACAACATAACATAAGACATATGTGAAAAAAAGCATTTGAAATATTTTAAAAGTGATGCCAATTTGTTTCATCCAGACTTTATGCTGTTTTTTCACAACTCTGAAAGAAAAAATTAAGGCTACTATGCAAATAATAATAGGTCCTAATATAAACATATTTTAAACTATACTAAACAGTTAGGATTTTGTAATTTTCGAAAAATTGGTTTTGAATTTTCTAAATGTTAAATACTTTTTGCAGAAATGTATTAAAAAATCGCTTACAATTTTTTTACTTAGAATTATAATTGTTATAGACATATTTAGGTTATTAAGTAGGATTTTCATAATCTTACGATTAAACATTACGATTAGTAAATCATATCAACTACAAACCAATGATTTTCTTTAGGGTTTAATTTGAAGAGTAAGATTATACATTTGTATATCCTGAAACATCTTATCATAGTCTTAAAGAATGAATGTAATAGTTCTAAGAACTGCATTGAAAGACAATATTTTAATGAGTACAAAATAATATTTTTAGCAGCAATCTTAAATAGGACCTCAGTTTAGATTCTCATCGCAATACATCATACTATATAGCTCTTTATCAATAATAATCTGAATTCTTTATCTATAAAATAAGTCTGAATGTTTGCAATGACCCAATGACTTCTGAAGAACACTTAACATTAAAAGCCACCACTTATTTACGATTTGTTTTCTCATTTCGCTCATTAATTAAACAAAATTACCTCATTTGTGTTTTTTTTTTCCATAAGTGGAAATCATCCAAAGCCACAGTGTGAGACTTGAACCGACTACACCCACCGCTTAGGAATGGTTGTGGAAGACAGCAGAGGATGCAACCCGATTCCAGTACTCAAGAGCAGAGAGGAGAACAGTTAGGCTTAATATTTAGCAAGCCAAATCAAACCCAAAAAAAATATGACTGTATTCATTTAGGAGGAGATGGGTTTATATGTGAAAGGGGTGGATTTAACACAAATTTGCGGAGGCATCTAGCTAAGTGTAAACTATATGCTCGTGATCATAGTAACCCCGGTTGTTAAGCAGAATGTGTGGATGAAGAAGAAGCTCTTCTTCAAGATAGTTGGCAAGCAATTGTTGGGGCTTATGGCGTCGAGCAGCATGGTTGGGATGGGTCTACTTGAAGAATGTCGAGGGTATCCTGACCACGTGTGAAATATCTTCTGAAGGTACTCTTCTATTCAATTAACTTAAACAGAGTTGAGGCTGAAGGATTTGGGGTAATGTTTGCCACAAAGTCGGCGCCGGTAGTTAAAACAATCACTAAAAAATCTTCTTTATAAATTGTTGTGTTGGATTGTAAGTAATTTAATTTGCACTTGTATGGGTGTATTTCACCATCAGCTGGATGGTGTTTTTATTACAAAATTCCCGATGGATCCATGCATAAATCTAAATAAATGCTCTTAACTAGCACTAAGTAAATTGTGTTTTTCAGCTTTCTAGAGCCTTGTAATCTTAAATATGGCATTACTCATATGACAGTTTTATTAAATGCTATAATAAATCATGTATAGGTTGTAGGTTATAGGAACAGCTTTTCCGTCTGTCCGTAAATAAGGCTGGTAGAAGAATTTTTGATAATTTAATTTTGTATTGTTTTAATAATTTAATAGAAAGGATTTGTGATCAAATATTTCAGTATAAAAAACTTTTTTAAATTTATGCATTAAATTTAATTTTTTGATTTTATATTATATTCCCCTGATATTCCCCTTATATTCCCCTATCCAGAATTGTTCTTTGAAGTGGGCTTTTAGACAAACTCAAATATTTTATCTTATTGATATATTTTTATTTCATACTTATTTTCTTATTTATCTTTACTCATGTTAAATTAATTAATAAATAAATATGAGCAATTATAGTCCTTCGACTAACTTGAAACTGCAGCAACTCAAACCCCTCCTCTGGCTACGTGTCTGTCCGCTGGATACTATATACTTCAGACACGAAATCGCTACTAAAATTTTTTAAATAAAAAAATGCCGGTGTCTTGTTCTTTAATATAGAAATCTGTGAATATGTACTTATTTATATTTTAGCTTTTTAATCTTTGTAAACACTCAAGAATTCAACAAGCTTTTAAATTTAGATTATAGGGGTTTAAAAAATAGAATGAGTTTAACACTACGTTCACAGCATGGCAATTAACTTGGCAAAATCCCCATAAAATTATGTTAATCAAGTTCGTTTATTGTAAGTGTGAACACAGTACTAATACATAATATTCGTTGGTGTGTTGACTTAGTCCCAAGCCTGATTGGCAACTAAATACAATGCGAATAATGTATGTACGTTTAAAATATAATCGATTTGAGTTTCTGAGGCACCTTCAACACCAAAATGTTGGCAAAGCAAGCATATATATTCATCCAAACTGATTTCACTATTCGCACAGCGTTGATAACCGCTCTGTATTATTGCTGCTGCGTCGGCATAATTCCGCGGCCAATCCAATTGTAATAATTCGATATCTTTACGTGGTTGCGCATCGTACACAGACTGTGTCATGTGCACCTGTTCTACTTCAGCTATCCACTTATCAATATCCTTAGATGATTTCGCCGTAGGTATGAGTGTAGCAGAAGTCGAACGTGGATTTACGCCACTACCAGTCAACATCGAACGTAGTTTCATATTAAGTAAGCTAGGCTCACTTTGTTCACCGGAAGGTTCATCCAGAAAATGTAAACCTAATCTACTTAAATGTTCATTGATTTCCTGTAGACGATGGGGTTGTGGTAGAGTAGGTACTGTTACTTTTAGAAATGCGTCGACATCGCCAACTGCAGGCACATACTCTGGTATGAAAGGTTGCAAGAGATAGTGTGTTTCAATGCTTTGTGGTGTATATTTTAGAATATATGGAAAAAGTTCCTTTAACTCTTGAGGTACATCAAGATTTTTCCATTTATCCGGTGTGATGGAGAGTTGGGCTAATTCGCCTATAGCATGATGTGCACCAATAGAATTACTACGTTGTTGATGTTGTTTCTGGTGTGTTAAGTCAATATCATCAGATTCAGTATCCGAGCGATCAGAGTCCAATTCTAAAGCTTTCGCTGTTGGTAAATTCATAGCTCCATTGGAACGTGTACTACCTGGACGATTTTTTGGACGCTGTGTCGCGCTACGTCGTTTCAACTGACCGCTATTTCTAAGTGGCAATGCTTTAGCTTGCTGTATATCGCTGTCATCTTCATCATCATCATCTTCATCTTCATCGTCATGATCAATTATGTCTTGAAGCAATCCATCGTCTTCCTCAGTGGAATTTAATTTTAACTACAAAAGAAACATAAACTTAGAGTACATAGTGTTTATAAGTACTTGTTTAACTCACGATATTCCTTTGACTGGGACGATTCTTATGTGTAAGGCTACTTCCTGGATCTGCCACATTGCTCACGTCACTTGCACCACGGCTAGGCAGCCTCTCCACTTTCACATTACTCAAATGCTTTGAGTCGGGACCTCTGATGGTTATTTCTTCGTCATAAAAGTTCATTGAAATATGTTTCACTACACTGTGTATTGTGTATTGTCTTTCCAGCTGTGTCCACGTCAACTTAATCCCAAAATGGGCGTTTGTCGACTTTTCTTATGAGTTTACAATTTTTTTGTCGAGACTCTTGTTGGTAAAATTTACGCTGTATTTATACTTTTGTTACTTGACTATAGATGCAAAAGTATATTTCTTACAATCGTTTGGAACACTACAGCTCTTCCTGTAATTTTATGTCTTATACGGAAAGTGAAGTTATGTTCCTTTCATTTAGGTTTGCCTATTTTTATACTTTATTTTTTACCCTTGTTGCGTTTGTTGACTGTCAGCTTTTGTTTGGTAAGCTTCGGTTTCCTTGGATACAATTATTTTGCTTACCCTTAGCGTTGTCACCTTCTGTGGTATTCAGATATTTTATGGACATTGCCAGATTTTTGTTGTTTATTGTCTCTGCTGAAGGAAAGGCTTCCTGCTATTGAAAACAATTTCGCTAATTACGAACACACTAGCATCTCAAACCGTCACATTGTGACACATTGTTTATGATAATAGGAGATGTGTATCCTACACATTAGGCGAATAATATTTATCTATATTAGTATCAAGTTGCTTTCAAGAAATAATGAATATCGATGAATACAAGCTTACCAACAAAATAAATAGAATCTATACATATATTCATACCAGATTTTTTTGAACAATGTCACAGAGATATGGAAGGTGACTCTTTAAACTAACGAAAATTAATGAAAAAAACCATAAGTGAAGGATGGATAACATGCATAAAAGTTCAGTCAAAAACCAATCTCTAACCGATCTTACTTTTTCACCTATTTAATATCTTTAAATTTAGTATTAAAAAAGTTCAATAACCTTTTTAAATACTATAGGTTTAGAAATAAAGTCAATTTTTTTAGATATATTCATTCCAAATTTTCAAAACGGATTTTAATAAAGAGAACTACTTTGAACAACGTTTTTCGCTAAACTAAATGTTAACATACCTTAGTTTTCAAGATATTACCTTTTAAAGTTATACATTTTTAAATGAATACCAACAGATGGCGCATCTACTGATTATAACCCGCTATTTGTGTAATCAATGTAATGTTATGTTTAAAATTAAGAGCGAAGCTCTTCCTCCCAAAATACTCTGAAAATAAGGAAATAGCTACTGAATCTAAGCATATTGGATTTAAAAACTAATATACTTCCCTGAGGGACCCCGGCATTTATGGGATATAATTGTGAATACGTGTCATGTTTGAGATATCAAGAAACACAGTAACACAGTATCCTTGTTTTCTAAGGTCTTTTCGATTTCATGCGTAACTCTGTGTACTTGCTCAATTGTAGAGTGTTTTTTACGACATCAAAACTGATGATTTGGCATAAGATTCCTTTGGCAAACGATTTTTTCGAGACTTTTACAAATGAGCTTTTCAAATAATTTTCCAACGGCTGGCAGGAGCGGGATTGGTCTATACAAAGCTGGAGAGTGCTAATGCTTATCTGGTTTAAGAATCACCACCGCTTCAGCAATTTTTCAATAGATTGGGACTAGTTTTTATTTTACTGGTGATTATTTTTACTTTAGCTTCTTGATTTCTGCAGTTACTTCCTTATTTTTCATCAGCGGAATAGTTTCATCATCTGGGTTCTTAATTGGCTCTATGCGCTGAGTTTCTTCTTGACTGAAGGTCTTGCTTAGATATTTAGCCAGTACATTTACCTTTTCAATGTTGATTTTTACTCATTAATTTCTATCTTCTCTTAAGAGAGGATTATAGGAAGTCGGTCTGTCATATCTTTGCATAGCTTTTCAGAGAGTATAATTAGTTTTACTGTCATATGTCAAGCTCGTGAGATATTTTAACGTGATTGCATCTTATCAAATGGCTTGCTATTTTGTAGAGATGTACAGCGCCATGCCGATTCTTAAATTAAGCTCGTAAAGTTATGCATTTCGCTCCCTAGGTCATCAATGTTTCGTATTTTGCTAGATAAGTCGATATTTTCATTTATCTGAGCCTTAAAATATTTCCAATCTATTAGACGGTTCGTTAATGTCGGTTTTGGTTGCATAGATCGAATGTTACATCCATAAGTAAGTAATATTGGTGAATGGTCAGAATTTAAGTCGAGTCCAGTTTTAACTTTTGAATTTTATTTATAATGATAAAATCAATGACATCTGTTAATTTGTTTGTAGCAGTTTGCTAGAACGTTAGAGACCAACTGGAGACGATATCATAACCTGATTTCGCCTAACATGCTTTAAGCAATTGCACAAATACCTTTATGGTATTTAGTCTCGACCCATATTGAACATTTTTTGCATTAAAATCACTATCAATCACAGGTTTATGTTTGTCTAAATTCAGTATATATATGTATGTATTGTTCATATTTTATATTATGTCTCGGCGAACTGTAAATGGACGTTATTAGGATTTTGGACCCACTCTCTTCAACAGCAACAGTTGTTGTCTGGAACTCTACAATCGTGTTAAGGATCCCTTTAATTTCATGAATTTTGTTAGTATTTTCAGTAAACTCAAAGGTTAAAATTAACATGTCCAGAGGTTTCTTGGTTTTAAATTGTAGTTTGTTGAGCGCACTGACAATTTTAAGCCCCTTTTCTGCGAGAACGCTTACAACATCTTTGGGATCGCATAAATGATGCAAGTTTTTTGCTACGACTCTCATTGGTCTAAACTATTTACCTTCATGAGTGTCATGGAAATTTTATTTCAGTTAAGGCCCGAGTTACTTTCTGAATAAATAAAAATAAATGATAAATAAAATTTTTTTTTATTCATTTTCGTACTGTACATAAATTATTTGTCAAAGATCGTATTATTACGGTCGTAGCTTTTGGTTCTTTGCAAAAACCGTATTTAATAAAGATTAAAGACCGAGTAAATACGGTCTTTGTTAATACAACAACCATTTTAAAGACATTAGTGCAGTGCATGACAATAAATGAAAGTAATAAATGAAAATCCAGCGGTTAACTATAATGACACACGAATTAAAATTCAAAAATTTTAAAGTTTTAAAAATTTCAAATATAAATTTTTATATAATATAATAATATAATTTAATATAACAGTTCAATATGAATTTGCACATTTCATACATTAAAATAATGGGCTTAACGCAATTTAACTTATTAGGCCTGAGTATGTAGTTGCAATAAAATAATATTAAAAAGTTACTTGAATTTTATTATATTTCAGAAAACGAATTTTACATTTATTTTCAATACGATCGATTTAATTATAGCATTCATTTATGATGTTAAAATACAAATAACAAATATTAATTCATTCACTTCTTCCTGAAATGTTAAACAAAAATGAATTTCAAAATAAATAAAGATATGAATAAATAAATAAATAAATAAATTATTGTTTTAATGACCAAATATTTTTTAATAATAATTTTGTTTTTTTTATTTTTTTTTAATATTTTAATTTTATTATTAATTATTATAAATAAATAAATGAATAATAAATAGAATTGCAAAATGATGAAGCAATAAGCTTGTTAAAGACTTTTATCAAACTAAATAAGAACTGTTAGTTGGTTTGGTATTTTTATCATATATAATTATTTTCTATATAAATGTCGCCGAAGTTTCGAATATGATTTGATTCCTTCCTCATAGCCTAGTATTATAATTAATAATTGTTATTATAATAATCATAATAATTATTATTTAGTTTCGTACATGTTTTAACAACATAAATATTATTGTTAAATAAGTGCAATTGAGATTATTTTACTAACAAATTGATTTTCTAAGACAGAATTTGATTACTTTTCTCTTATTTTTAATTTGAAAACTATTCCAATTATTCAATATATTCTTATACAAGCAATTATTTGCATTGGTGTGCCTTCAGCGCAGTTTTTTATTGCGCCTTTAACGAATTAATAACGAAGATCAGTGTAGGATTTTAGATATTGAAGTTAAGTACTCGTATAACCTCGTATTAACAAAATATATTAAGTTTGTTTTCTTTTTTAATCATATAAATATTCTAATGGTATTCCTAACAGAGCGAATAGTTATGACCAACATTGTGGTAACAATTTTAATCATTTCCATTTAAATATGCATTCATCAATTCGCTTTCAGTTCTATATCTACTACCTAAGAATATTTGGTTTTTTTTTGTTATTCGTTTGCCTACGATAGACGCGGTTTTCTAACATCACTAGCCATTTGCTTCGGGTTGTGGGGAAACTTTATTTGGTTTTTGCTATATGTGCGTGGCGGGTGAGTGTTCGTGTTTGCTAAGTTTTTGAATTTGAAAAGTTCTCAGATATTTATATATCTTAATAGTGATTATAAATTTAATTTGCTTATTAAAATAATTAAATAAAGTGAAATAAGTTCTTTTTAATTAGTTACTTAACATTTAAATATTGTCGCTTTGCATAATTCAAAAAAATTCCCGGAATTGTAGAACACACAATAGCCAACAAAATAGACAATCAAAAGTGCTTTGAAACAGATATGTATGTCTTTTGTTTTAATAATAATCATGATATTATATATAATATCAGTAATATATAATATAAAATATAATATTATATTTATAATATAATATTAAATATAATATTATATATATAAAATAATATTAAATATATTCACTATTTTTTTCTTATACGTTTTCCTGTGATTGTTCTAGTATTTTCTGTTTTTTTTTTGTTTTGTTTGCTATCACTTCTTATTTTTTGCGATTTTTGTAGTAGCTTTTTAAAAAGAAATTATTCAGTTATTTTCGTTTTCCGTTCGTTTTTTTGTAGTTTGAAATTTTAAAATAATTATTTAAGCTTTAAACAATTTGTTAATTTTAGTAGTAGTAATTTTAACTGAACTGAGTTGAAAAAGTTTCTAATTTTGCTATATCTATAAATATATATAATTATGAACAAAGGCAGCATTTCAATTCACGTTTCTCGCTGCTTTCCTAAAAATATTGTCGGTG